TTCCTACTAAAACGATGAAATTTCAAATTTTTTTTTGTCGAGATTTTGTGTCCTAATGGTCCCTCGTGATACCCTGAACTCCATAAACTACATTATTCTCAGATTTGAAGCCAAAATCTATGAAAAAAGGCACTCAGAAAAATTGAAAAATTGATAAATCACCACAATTGCTTAGCACGATTTTATCTCAGGAACTATAAGTGCCAATGAGCTGAAATTCTCAGGGATTGTAGTCCTTTGAAAAGGATAATTTTCAGTGAAAGATTCAGCTTTCTATCTATAATAGAAAAAAAGTTATGACTTTTCAAAATTTTCCAAAAAAATCATAAGGGGGGTACCTTCCTACTAAAACGATGAAATTTCAAATTTTTTTTTGTCGAGATTTTGTGTCCTAATGGTCCCTCGTGATACCCTGAACTCCATAAACTACATTATTCTCAGATTTGAAGCCAAAATCTATGAAAAAAGGCACTCAGAAAAATTGAAAAATTGATAAATCACCACAATTGCTTAGCACGATTTTATCTCAGGAACTATAAGTGCCAATGAGCTGAAATTCTCAGGGATTGTAGTCCTTTGAAAAGGATAATTTTCAGTGAAAGATTCAGCTTTCTATCTATAATAGAAAAAAAGTTATGACTTTTCAAAATTTTCCAAAAAAATCATAAGGGGGGTACCTTCCTACTAAAACGATGAAATTTCAAATTTTTTTTTGTCGAGATTTTGTGTCCTAATGGTCCCTCGTGATACCCTGAACTCCATAAACTACATTATTCTCAGATTTGAAGCCAAAATCCATGAAAAAAGGCACTCAGAAAATTGAAAAATTGATAAATCACCACAATTGCTTAGCACGATTTTATCTCAGGAACTATAAGTGCCAATGAGCTGAAATTCTCAGGGATTGTAGTCCTTTGAAAAGGATAATTTTCAGTGAAAGATTCAGCTTTCTATCTATAATAGAAAAAAAGTTATGACTTTTCAAAATTTTCCAAAAAAATCATAAGGGGGGTACCTTCCTACTAAAACGATGAAATTTCAATTTTTATTTTGTCGAGATTTTGTGTCCTAATGGTCCCTCGTGATACCCTGAACTCCATAAACTACATTATTCTCAGATTTGAAGCCAAAATCCATGAAAAAAGGCACTCAGAAAAATTGAAAAATTGATAAATCACCACAATTGCTTAGCACGATTTTATCTCAGGAACTATAAGTGCCAATGAGCTGAAATTCTCAGGGATTGTAGTCCTTTGAAAAGGATAATTTTCAGTGAAAGATTCAGCTTTCTATCTATAATAGAAAAAAAGTTATGACTTCAAAATTTTCCAAAAAAATCATAAGGGGGGTACCTTCCTACTAAAACGATGAAATTTCAAATTTTTTTTTGTCGAGATATTGTGTCCTAATGGTCCCTCGTGATACCCTGAACTCCATAAACTAAATTATTCTCAGATTTGAAGCCAAAATCTATGAAAAAAGGCACTCAGAAAAATTGAAAAATTGATAAATCACCACAATTGCTTAGCACGATTTTATCTCAGGAACTATAAGTGTCAATGAGCTGAAATTTTCAGGGATTGTAGTCCTTTGAAAAGGATAATTTTCAGTGAAAGATTCAGCTTTCTATCTATAATAGAAAAAAAGTTATGACTTTTCAAAATTTTCCAAAAAAATCATAAGGGGGGTACCTACCTACTAAAACGATGAAATTTCAAATTTTTTTTTGTCGAGATTTTGTGTCCTAATGGTCCCTCGTGATACCCTGAACTCCATAAACTACATTATTCTCAGATTTGAAGCCAAAATCCATGAAAAAAGGCACTCAGAAAAATTGAAAAATTGATAAATCACCACAATTGCTTAGCACGATTTTATCTCAGGAACTATAAGTGCCAATGAGCTGAAATTCTCAGGGATTGTAGTCCTTTGAAAAGGATAATTTTCAGTGAAAGATTCAGCTTTCTATCTATAATAGAAAAAAAGTTATGACTTTTCAAAATTTTCCAAAAAAATCATAAGGGGGGTACCTTCCTACTAAAACGATGAAATTTCAAATTTTTTTTTGTCGAGATTTTGTGTCCTAATGGTCCCTCGTGATACCCTGAACTCCATAAACTAAATTATTCTCAGATTTGAAGCCAAAATCTATGAAAAAAGGCACTCAGAAAAATTGAAAAATTGATAAATCACCACAATTGCTTAGCACGATTTTATCTCAGGAACTATAAGTGTCAATGAGCTGAAATTTTCAGGGATTGTAGTCCTTTGAAAAGGATAATTTTCAGTGAAAGATTCAGCTTTCTATCTATAATAGAAAAAAAGTTATGACTTTTCAAAATTTTCCAAAAAAATCATAAGGGGGGTACCTTCCTACTAAAACGATGAAATTTCAAATTTTTTTTTGTCGAGATTTTGTGTCCTAATGGTCCCTCGTGATACCCTGAACTCCATAAACTAAAATATTCTCAGATTTGAAGCCAAAATCTATGAAAAAAGGCACTCAGAAAAATTGAAAAATTGATAAATCACCACAATTGCTTAGCACGATTTTATCTCAGGAACTATAAGTGTCAATGAGCTGAAATTTTCAGGGATTGTAGTCCTTTGAAAACGATAATTTTCAGTGAAAGATTCAGCTTTCTATCTATAATAGAAAAAAAGTTATGACTTTTCAAAATTTTCCAAAAAAATCATAAGGGGGGTACCTTCCTACTAAAACGATGAAATTTCAAATTTTTTTTTGTCGAGATTTTGTGTCCTAATGGTCCCTCGTGATACCCTGAACTCCATAAACTAAAATATTCTCAGATTTGAAGCCAAAATCTATGAAAAAAGGCACTCAGAAAAATTGAAAAATTGATAAATCACCACAATTGCTTAGCACGATTTTATCTCAGGAACTATAAGTGTCAATGAGCTGAAATTTTCAGGGATTGTAGTCCTTTGAAAAGGATAATTTTCAGTGAAAGATTCAGCTTTCTATCTATAATAGAAAAAAAAGTTATGACTTTTCAAAATTTTCCAAAAAAATCATAAGGGGGGTACCTTCCTACTAAAACGATGAAATTTCAAATTTTTTTTTGTCGAGATTTTGTGTCCTAATGGTCCCTCGTGATACCCTGAACTCCATAAACTAAAATATTCTCAGATTTGAAGCCAAAATCTATGAAAAAAGGCACTCAGAAAAATTGAAAAATTGATAAATCACCACAATTGCTTAGCACGATTTTATCTCAGGAACTATAAGTGTCAATGAGCTGAAATTTTCAGGGATTGTAGTCCTTTGGAAAGGATAATTTTCAGTGAAAGATTCAGCTTTCTATCTATAATAGAAAAAAAGTTATGACTTTTCAAAATTTTCCAAAAAAATCATAAGGGGGGTACCTTCCTACTAAAACGATGATATTTCAAATTTTTTTTTGTCGAGATTTTGTGTCCTAATGGTCCCTCGTGATACCCTGAACTCCATAAACTACATTATTCTCAGATTTGAAGCCAAAATCCATGAAAAAAGGCACTCAGAAAAATTGAAAAATTGATAAATCACCACAATTGCTTAGCACGATTTTATCTCATCAGGGACTATACCTATTACCTAGTTAGTTACCGATGATAACAATAATGAAAAATAATATAAGTAAATTCGAAAAAAAAAAAAAAATCAATTGATAGTGTATAAATAAATAAGTACCATTATCCTAAACCACTTGCTTAACCCTTTTCTTGGTATGGATGTGTTTTGGAGAAGTTTCATTTCAGTAGTGTAGCGTATAATAGGGAACTTGCAAGTGAACTAAAAATTTCCAAATTTGTTTTAAATCGCCAGTTTATACTGCACAAAATTTATATGACCAGTTTTTATTTAACTGATACCGCCCTTGTTACACGAAAAGTAATACTAAATTTGAAATAAAAAATTTCCCGCCAAAACAATGCTTCCATGATGGCTACCTTTTTTGACGTCACGATTCTGTAAACAAACCTGTCAATAGGGAATTTGCAAGTAAAAAAAAAAATTACAAAAGCAGTCCTTTGCAATATTCTTCATCCATTGCGACAATTTTCACAAAAAAGCAAACTTTAACACACTTGAATAACACAAAAATAGCACTGCGTTAGCAGGAATTCGTTTACTGCGTATTTGTTGTTTACAACATCTTAAAGTCACAAACGCTGTCATATTGAGATTTCGTGTTTTCGCGTCAAAGTTTTTAATTTGAACTTCAATAATTTTTTTTTCGGAAAACGTATAAATTAAAATGGAAAAAATTAAATTATGTAATACCTGATCACTAGAAGTATCTAAAAAAAAAATAATTTGAGAAATATGAAAATTCCCTATTGCATGATTAGGTAAATACACGTTATTTACCTAATTAGTTGTTTTTAGTGTCAAATTATGGAGTGACTGGTAAACGTCTGGTTGTTACCTAGCAGGTACTTTCTATGCAGTAGAGAATAGAAAGTACGTGCTAGGTAACAACCAGCTTACCAGTTGGTTTATAATTTGGCCCTCAATTGTATTTCTGTTATTAAACTTTTCTCGCGTTTTTGATTATGGTTTCTTAGAGTTGAGGAGCTAATAAATCAATTAATATAAGTAGTTAATAGTGATTTGGTTTCCAAAACATTCAAGGGTAGGTAATTCAATTAAAATGGCGTAAGGTATAGAGGTAGCGTAAACCTTGCGTGACGTTGAAAAAATGATAGAAAATAACCCGGTCCGGTGGGCAAATTGAGCGAGCCAGAGTGGACTAATGAAGAAGACCAGCCTCCGTTAGCCCCTGTTTGAACAACTATTTTTGTCAGAAGATACACGTTCCCATTGGTTGTCGACATTCCGGCCACGATCCCATTGGTTTCAGCAACGCGCCGTGGAATTTCATAATCGCGAGGCGGAACTCTATAATCCGAAATTTAGAGGGGTATCCATAGGCGTGGCCTAAAGCGAATATCGCCAGGGATAAGGAATTTTTCAGTTAGTCCCGTTCATCGGTTAGGTATAGTGTCGAGAGAACGTCGTTGTTCCGATAATTTTCGCTTCAAATTATAGTAACCGACTATAATATTGTGACGTATCGTATGTACCTACTCTTAACCTAAAATTATTATTCCAACAATGCCTTGAATGAAATCCGTCTTTCGCATTGGCATAATATGAGAGACTAATATATTAGTGATGTGTGATTTAAATTGGTGCTAGTAGGTATACCTATATATACGTTTGGTGTCCATACGGATGATAGTTGTTGACATGTTGTGTATATGTATATAATGAGTTGTTCTGAAGTGATGTACCAGGCGTATTACCCATATTTGTATCAGAGGGCGGCGGGAACGGCGCCGCCCGTTTCGGCACATCCGGTTCCCAGGACCGGACCGTTTAGTTCACCCTTCGGGGCCGCTCACCAATATGATAGGGTAAGTCAGATTTGGTTTTTGAAAAAAGACTCGTTCCTAAAGGTGAACTTGTCGTTTGTGGGAACAGATCTCCTGAAGATGCCGAGTACCTACTCGAATCAAGAAAAACATTTTTCGAAAAAACGACGGCCAAACAGCTGACAAAACAACAACCATTTTATGTCTGAGGCATTTAAGACCTGTGTAAATATGAGATCAACCAGTTATTTGGGTGGGATAAATAAATAAAACAGCTAATACATCATTAGCAACTAACAGACCTAATTATAAATATTTATGAAAAGATTGATAAGTGTGTAATACTTGTCTCACTAGACTTAAAAAAAGCTTTAATAGAGGTGCTTGAAAAAACTGGTATTGGAGGTTTAGCACTACTGTGGTTTAGGGATTATTTTATCTATCGGGCAGACTCAGAGTGAAGGTAACAGAAGTAGAATGGATAACATTGTACACGGAGTGCCCCAAGGTTCAATTCTGGGACCGACACTCTGCCTAGGCTACATGGACTCACTGTCATACATACCTCTTCAAGGACTGTCTCAATTTATATGCAAATGATACTCGCATCACTTATTTTGATAAGGACCCTGCTAACTTAAAAATCATCATTGAAAGAAGACTTTACAGAAAATAAGTGATTGACTCTGTTACCACAAACTTTAAATGTAAAAAAAATCAAGCTATATGGTAATATCAAAGTTTGAGTCCTCTGACTTCACGATAAACATTGAAGGTTTCCCATTGACTCTTGACTCGTGCAAACTGCATCAAATACCTGGGACTTTGCCAATTCAAAACCCTCTTGGGATATGCACATCTTGCATATTATGTAATAAGATTACACTAGGCAATTGAAATACTTGGTCAAATATCGGACTATCTGTTCATTACGCATCGTAAGATGATATACAATTCCCTAGCTCTGTTATGGGGCAATGCTTGAGATTTTTATTATCCGAATGGCATCCTGGACATTCACTTATAGCGTTTTCCATTTGTCGAATCAGGACAAAAAATGTATCCTTATCCTTACATGTTACATGCTTTTAGAAAAAGATGATGCGGATACACTCAGTGCGACACTGATGACAAATGGAAATCGCCATAGTGATTCACTGCCTGTATATCTTGCATCTTTATCCATTCTTGTAAGACCTCCAATATTTACTCTACAATAAGTCTATAATCTCAGCCAATACCAGACTTAATAAAAGCTTAAGAACGTCGGCAATGAACGAAGGGTAGACCGCAGGTCAGTTTTTGTACATTATATTGCAGTTTTAGGAGAAATCATGGATTATTTCACATGATTTCCCCTGATTTCTGTTGATTACCCGTAAAATTATACCCAAGAGTTCCCCTGATTTCCTCTGATTACCCGTATAAAGATTGCCCAAAATTTCCTCTGATATCTATAGAATTCCCCTAATGATTACCCTTCAGTAATATCTGTTTAAATATTATGCAGAAACAAAACTGATTTTTTGGGGAAATGAAAGTAAACTAAAAAATGAACACGAAACTTTAGCATTTATTATCTATTAATATAAATGCTGCTCTTTAACGCAAAAATCACAAACAAAATTTGTAGGTGAGTCAGCATCCGTGCACTGACTATGTGCCCACTTCCCGCAATGAGTAGGTACATCGGTTCCAAGTTTGTGATTTCCCAACGTCTTGACATATGATGCACACTACACTGCTTCCATTATTGGAGTTAATGTCTCGGTTAATATCCAGATTACTACCATCAATGCGGTCCATGCTGTCATCATCACAAAGTTGACCAGCATTATTATTACTCGAGTCGCTTGATGACGGTGTGTCAGTTGAAGTTTCAATTAAATACCCGAAATCCTTTCTGTCGGCAATGTTACGCTTTTTAGATATTGTATGGCTTGGGTTTAGTGTCTGGTTTTGGAGTCAAATTTGACCAGAGAATTAAACTTTTTGGTTTTGGCACGTTTGCTGTTCTGTTGGGTGTTGTGTTTGTTAGGAACCTGAGAAGGCCTCTTTGTCAGTACGATATTGGAAGATGGAGGTGTCGCCTTTATGTTACTGTTAAATCTTCTCAACCAGTCAGTGCAGATTTTTCAATAACATACTGTCTATCGTTCAAGGTAACCGGTAAAAATGACCTGTCTTTCGATGAAAAATCTTTCTGCTGTTTCAACAAATCCTCGGAAAAATTCTTTAATTCAAGTTGTTCTCTAAAGGACCCGGAATTTGAAATATTGCCTATATCTGCTCGTATTTCCTCAATGGCTGCATTTTTTCTTTTTCATAGGTATTCCATCTCTTATTCATTTATGACTCTTTCAGTCCAGGTTTCAGTATTCTCTAGCATTCCATTATCGAGTCTTTTATCTTTTATATTGTCATTGTCTTCATTTTCTGAGTCATTTTGATGGGGATTTTTTAATGTTACTTACCTGTAGGAAAAGAACAACACCTGCACTCTGCGCTTTATCTTATGAAGTACCTACAACACACGTAACCGAGCACCTATAATTTTATTTTAATAATGGACATAACAAAAGCTCAATTTATAAATATTTTTAAAAACTGCGCATATGCGTTAAATCTAGAGATTAACTGATAGCCTTAAGATTTCTCGAGAGATTTCCTATGATTTCCTTAAGATTTCCCCTGATTTCCTTGAGATTTTCCCTGATTTCCCCTGGCTTCCAATGATTGCATTTGATTTTCTCTGATTTTCCCTAATTTGTACACCAGATTTTCCTTGCGGTTTACCCCTCGGCAATGAATATTATAACTAGCCAACGCAGCATCTTGTCAGAAGGACTAAAGTAGTGCAATCGAATTTCAGAATCTGTTAAAAGATTGAGCATTACTTGCTTCAAGTGTGAGCTGAAGCCGCTGATCCTCGATGAATACTTTGGGATTGTACAATGAAATACTTTGTCTGTAATTTAGAACTAATATATTTTTAAATGCAACAACTTTGTGATACAGAGCCTACTTGTACTGGATATTTTCTCTTCTGTTATATTGTACAGGGTGACTCAGAGTAAATTTCCCTTTTTTTGAACGCGCCTTGTACATCCAACTTAACATTTGTGGGGAGGTTAGCGCTGGCAATATGCGGCGACTGCGTGCGGATTATCAGTGAACATGGAGCAGCGGTCGAACGAGCAACGCGCGTTCATGGTTGAGGCGTTTTTATAATCGAATGATTCTTATGTCGCACGGCGATGTTTTTGTAACCGTAACCATATCCGGCGTATACGTGACGCTACGTCAAAAAATGTAATGAAATCGTGGGTTTAAAGATTCAAAGTGCTACAGTGGCAAATCAGAAGCGTCCCACCATGTTTTCGAATTGAACGCCTCGGATTTTCGGTCGCAGCACGTCGTACAATTCCAATGTTCTCTGGCGTTTTGATGGACTTCTGTTGGCCGGGACGCTTCGGCTTTACAAGAGCTTGGTGGTAGCTCCGAAACAATTTATATGCGACGTTGCCATTTTTGGCATTTTCATGTTTGGACTGGAATCAGCGTCACGCCACGCCACCACAGTTATTTATTATTATTATCCCGGCCTTTTGTGTTTTAAGTGGACACAGAATATAATAATCTTTCATAAATTGATTATACTGCTTATGATTGAATGAATTGAAAATTGAAACTACAAATTTTGTATTTTGAAGCACTAGTACAGGCAGCTGCCTTTTGGTTGAAGTGGAACTGAAAACTCGTTTGTTCACCTCTACAGGGCGGAAAATTTTTTCATATCAAATTCGGAAAAAAAATATTTATTTTTCCAAGTGCGGGAAATACCATAGCCGCTTTCCAGTATGCACATTGGCGCGCTCTAGAGCACTCCGCACTAGATTTGTACCGTTCCAGTATCATGACGCATGACGTTTGTCCGTACGTATAGCTCGGGAGCTCAATGCTCTGGGTAGCTCCGAGTGTCACACTCCCGTACTGGAAAGCGGCTCTTATCTCGCAAGTGTTAAGCCTAGTACTCATAACAGCGAAATTCGCTCTTTTTTAACATTCCTTTGACAATTTGACGTTCTATGCGTGAATCAAACGTCAAATTGTCGAAGCAATGTCAAAAAAGATCGAATTTCGCGGTTATGAGTACTATAGGCTAGGAGAGTACTAAGGAACACAATTTTTCTCAAGGGTGTGCGGAAAGATTACTCTGTTGTGCATGCCAAAAGTTTTTTTTCCGCACATTCGTAGGAAAAAAACGAATCATCTTAGTTTCAGGTTTCAGGTCTCTAGAAAATGACAGAGATTATCCTGTTTTCAATCCCTAGTAGGACTGCTTATTGAGCTAAAAGTCTCTATACACTGCTATGTCAGCTGCATAAAGTTTGTTTTTTATTTAAAGATAATTCCCCAAGTCAAAAATTTAGTAACTATGTTGGCAACACAAGCCTTTTCTACATAAAAAATTTGAAAGCATTGACAATTTTACATTGTATTGCCAACATAATGTCATTTTGACTTTTATCTTTAAAAAAAAAACACACTTTACCTCAACTTTTGGAGTGAAATTCCTAAACGTTAAAATCTTGTTGCAATCACCTTTTCTATATTTAAAACATTTAAAATCGACGAAAAAATCAAATAACGAGCACAGCCTGAATCGTAAGCCTTCGATCGAGGTCTGCGGGTGACGTCATCACTATTAGCATCTGTGGCGACGTCACTCGCAGACCCTGCCTGCTCAAGAATTGGTGAACCTACGCCTTATTAGAAAGAGCAATCCTGTTTACGATTGTTGTATAAAAATGTCGAAAATTCCAACAAAATCCAGAGGCGTTTTCTGGCGTCTCAAATGTTTCAAAACATTCTTCAAAACTGGTTTAAGTACTGTCACCATGACGTCATAATTTCTCGGCGCGAGAAAATGATTGGAAATGAAAATGTGGATTGGATTGTATTTCGAAACAGTTTGAACCAAATTTGACGTGACGTCATAGGTTTATCGCGAGAATGTACTGTTTGAAAACAGTTTTGAA